AAGATGATGTAAGTAGACAGTTATTTAGTGTTAAAAGAGAGTAACTACTTATATAATAATTACACAAGGGGTAAGGATAAATTTCTGATTTCGCTTGGATTTAAGGACAGACTGGAGACGAAATACAAGCCAGAACAACAGAGCGAAATTTATGCATATCATGGTGGATGGCTCAGGATTTGGAACCTTAGTGAGTGAGTTCAAATCAGTGAGTGAGAATCGAAATCAAGACTGAGTAGACTGAATGATACGCATCAGGAGAAAACACAAAGTCACACAAACAAAAAGAAATTGCGGTTACCAGTCCCAGTAGGCTATTGATAGATTGGTCACACTATCTTTCTCTGTGCATAGGTTGGCTTGATGTCTTTTCATGGTGGTAGTGGCTTCTGAGAACCAACCGAAGTAGCCACTGTTTTCTTTGAGTGTTTTGATTATTTTGAAGGTCTTCAGGCGAATTTCCCCTATACGTCGTGTGTTAATTAGGTGTCTGGCGACTGGGCTTGAGAAGAGTTTCGTGACGTTCAAACGGTGGCTTCTAGAGATATGCTTGAAGAATCTACCAGATGCTCTCTTCTCAATCCTTCCTATGTACCTGTTTCCGGAAATGTAGTTGGAGTTTACATGAGTAGGATACTTGTCTACTTTTGACTGGGTTAACGAGAGTAGTGTGTTGAAAAGTGGAATGAGTGTAGCGGCGGGAAATGTCCCTTCTAATGCATCTTTATTTGTGTTTGCATAAATCCTTCTTCGCCCTTGTATGCTAGTCATAGAAAAATTGGTTTCATTTCAACTATTTCGCATCTCGGTCTAAGTGGTTTTTCTTTCCCCAATTTTGATGTAAACTTCTGAGGGTATCGATTTTTCATAAGTTTCTTTTCGATCACTGTCAGTTCCTATTCGATCTTATCTTCTGAACACAGTGCCTTAGCTCTGCTGAAGAGCGTTTTCATCAGTCTCCTCTTGTAGCAGATCGGGTAGAAGCAGTGATAATTCAAGCATTGATCAATCCAAGTTTTGTTTCCTATAGATGGAGTTCTTAATCGTCCTATCATTTCCTTTGTTTTATGTTGAGATAGATCTACGCAGTGGAACTGGTTTTCACCTTTATGATCCGTTGCAGATGTCATGTGAGTTTGAGCCACGTTGAGGTTTTTGAACTTCGTGGAAGCGTGATCCATCCATATTGTTGCAAAGCAGTAACATGTCATCAACATACCTGTTGTAATCGGTGGTCCTCTGTATTTCCTGCTTCATTCATGTCTGTTCACAATTTCACCATGGTGAAATCATCATGCCATAAACTGTCTAGGTGATTGGCTTAAAGATTCAAACCAACTCGACAACAGTTGTCAATCCACAGTTTCAATGGTTATTTTCAATTCTCAGAAAATTTAGACCAACTGAACATTTCAAACAAACTTCATTAGCTGTTCGCTAGCGAGTAATTTGAAATACTTGCTCTTCCCGAAAAGGAGCTACGAAAATTACTTCTTCTTTGTACACATCACGCATAGTTCCAATTCGATAACCAACTGTACTGGCGAATTCATGCGGTAGCTATGCATTCACATTTGGCTTCTATTCCTGTGGACGTATTCATAGCTCATTTTCAACAGACACTTCAGATATGCTGACAACACATTTGTGATTTGCGACAATATATATATATATATCACGCCTCCAGGATGTTCAAAAACTTCAATGCGGCATGACATTTCCTGTGGACTGCGAACGGAAGAATCAGTTCCAGTTGAAGAGGGAGAGAGAATCCACGAAACAAAACGAGTTCGTATTATCCTGTAAATATGTTGGTTCTTTCTTTAATCAAAGTAATAAAGGGAACCAACTGCATGAAATATAAGAGTGTATCTACACTAATGCTGTTCAGAGGACATTGTGCCCTGTCAGTATTTTTGCAAGAGACAGCACAACATCGTTTATAAACTCTATGTCGACTAAATATCTCCAGTTAAATAAAGTCACCTCTATTAACGCATTCAAACGTAGATAACAAAGATGAGGGATAGTTTATTTTTACTTGACAGGTAACTAAAACAGAAACTATAGAACCTGACAATGAATTTAGACCAGAGTATTTTATTTTAAGGTGTATCTAAGGGATGACTTGATTGCTACGGTTATTAGTATTATTATTATTCTCAATAGTTGGTTTGTAAGGATCAGATTTGTTTTTATGAGTTGATGACGGATTGATATCACTTGGAGATGCATTGAAAACCAGTAAGCGAGTACTGCCAGACAGCTGTTTCATTAGCCTAATTTGGGAATCATCAGCAGTACGCAACCACACCGTGGCACTCGAATCCAGGACGTGCCGATTACAGGCAATCAAGCTGGTATACCATTCAGCTGCTGGGACCCGATTCATCGGCCAACCCGTGAATTGCGACTTCTAACACTTCGTGATTTAGCGCGACAGGCACCAACCAGTGTCATCTGTGCGAACTCTACCCTCGCTCCCGACTGGATGTACTCCATTGGTCACGACTTCTCACTAGAACTCCAGGAAACTCCCTCCTGTAGCAGGTCACTAGAGTGAGCATCAGATTAATTTTCTATAGTTGGCTTGTAAGGATTAGAATTGTTTTTAGGAGTTATTATTATTACTTTGCTTATTAGGCATTCTTACGGGTTACGAGTTGGATACTAGGCTTCACCAGCACATCACTGAGTTCTGTACAGTCTATTTTGGTTGGCTCTAGGATTACTTGTAAGCTTTTATCTCCTCTCTTCAGTACGCATATGCCCAGTCCATTTGCATTTCCTCCTGTATATCTTTTAGATGACAGGTTCTTGGTCAATTTGTCGCCAGAGTTTTCTCGCTTATTTTTTCCTGCCATATGTTCTTCAATATAGATCCAAGGAAGCTGTTCATAAATATGCACGGTAGCCTGTTGTAAACGATTCTGATGACATATCAAGTCTCTAAATCCTACATTATCATTAACGATAGTATTACATTTTTTTAAGCACACACCACTTTAGGTTAGCATTTCGTGATATGAAAATCCTAAGACTTGAGTAATGTGAAGCATTCAATGTTTCTACATGCTTCAGTCATTTGGCACCTGCATAGCCAAATAAATTCCCAATGAGTTGTTTTCATTGTATATGGAATATCAGATTGCCAGAATATATATATAAGCAACAAGGAGCTCCAGCAGGTGGAGAGCCAACTGACTAACTTATCATCTAACAAAAGCGCTGAAAGAAACTGCGATGGATGACACACACACACAGTGAGAAGGTATTCAAGTGGTATCACACTCCAGGTTTTCGAATACAACTCAAATAGGAAACAAACGGTTAGGATATAAACAAGATCTTGTGAGAAGGAGGGAATGAAAACTTGTGGATAGTGGTACAGTAAGCTAGAAGTGATATCAGTAACCTAATCGGAATGTAAGCGTTGAACTGAAACCTTATATTTCACTCGAAAGACAAAGAATGAACACTGATAATAGCAAATTCAATAGCATTAGATTCTAAATAGACTATACTATCATTGAGTCATGTTATACAGAGTTCACGATTGTCATTTGCTAATTTAGTCTTTTACTAAATCCTTTACTGTGACGAAAACTGTAGCCAAACTGAAGTCTATGAAGTTGTTAGAGCATTTCATTGGAAATGTCTATTTATCTAAGCAGACCGAATGAAGACCGGTTGAATAACGCTGTCATACTGTCAAATACTGAGGAGAACTATGCTGATGATGTATTTGCAATACAGTTATAAAGCTAAAAGGTAGACTACATCACAAGCCTCTTTTTATGACGAATCTTCACATTTGTTTACAACACTTTGGAACTTAAACAGTTGATATTCAATTATTGCTTTGTATGTATTCGATTGATTGGTTACAGAATTTAATAATGAACTGATATCGGTTAGACCATGAGCACAAGTTGGAATTCATGGACCATTGCATCGTGTTCCAGTGGCTCAGTGGTCTACCAGCTCAATTTGTAACCAGAAGGTCCTGGCTTCGAACTCGGGTGGGCACATACTGATGAAGACCCCCAAACTAGGAAAAAAAACTGTACAATACTCCAGTGGTGGTTTTCTTATGGCTCTCTACCCGATATCAACTCATGGCTGAATTCTGGCATCTATTGAACAGTTGAATTCAATCGATAACTGAAATTAATTAGCACAATAATGATTTCTCTTCAAGTGGAAATTTAATTTTAATTATCCAAGAGTAATTGAACACACACTGATTATATATTTGGTAAAATTGCTCTGCACAACTCTTCTCCGCAAATCAGTATAATATTTAAAGGTTTGAAGATGAATGTGATTGTATCAGGATTGCTGAATGAAAGAAAAACGAATAATTGAGTCTGTTTACAGAAAATAATACCAGCATATTGTAGAATGCCTTGTTCCTGAACAATATCAAGAAATTGAGATGAGGAAAGTTTAAATTAGACTACCAGACAATGTACTCCAAAGTCCTGTCTAGCTAACTTGACGATGGTAAGACCGAAGAAGGAGGTTTGGCACGAGGCTACTAACTCCAGTTGACTGAGGCATTAAATAACATCACTCGGACTAAATCTCCAGAATCTCAATTCCTATGTTCCACTTGGGATACCCTGAATCACAAACCCACAAGTTTATTATTTTTTTATTTTTTATTTTTGATTACAGCCTGATTCCACACCGTATTTTTTGGTACAGGTATGAAATTTTCAGCATGTGATATCGGTAGCCCAAATTTGGTAAGCCGACCATTAATATCAGGTGTGCGTCGGCAGGGGATCGAACTCCCTACCATGTGCATGGTCGACGAGAGTCCTAACCACTGTGCCACCGACGCAACAAATATATACAAATATATCAAAGAGCCATACAGTATGCTTCATATATTATCAGTATATTTTGTATACAAAAGATCCAGCATATATTACTAAGAACAATCGGAATAATTAAGATTCGATTCAAGCAAGAATCAAGCCTGTATAACTCACCCATGTCCCATTGCACCATTGGCTGGTTTTTGAATGAAACAAGTATTTGCTCCTTGCCTGTATAACTTTTTAGCATAACTTTGAAAATAACCATATTCTTGTGGTAGAACCCAGGTATTCGGCATAAAATTATATTCATTTGGTTCAACTTTTTGCATTCTATAAAAGATATGAGTAGTGGCATGAAACGAGGAAAATGATAATGGGATAAAAATGAAGGCAAGAAAGCAAACAACTGATGGCATACAGATACTTGTAACTCAGAAAGCTGATGTCGAGAAACAAGTGCGCAATAAAACAAATAAATTCCATGCTAGTTACACGATTTCATCATGAGCTGATATCTGTTAGAGAACCACTGGGAAATCTGGGAGTACTGAACAGTTGATTCATCCTAGCTTGGGTGTGTACTGTGAAGAACCCCAAACTAGGACGAAACAGATAGCTGTCCAGTACTGCAGTGCTGGTTTTCCAAGGTTTCTCTAACCGATGTTGGCTCATGATGAAATCCTGTAACCAATCAATCAAACCCCCAAAAATCAATACTTGAAATTCGATACTAGTTGAAATCTTTAGCACAACGTCCAGGTTATTCCTTCACCTTCTCTGTGAGGGATAAGCGATTCGTCAACCATAGAAATATAAGTTTCCATGAGGGAGTACATATTCCTACTTTTTCTGAAGTTCCATCAAACATGACAACTAGTGTATCCGATAAGATGAATTCATTTTATTATTTCATAGGATTTTCGTTCGAAGTCATTGTGTTTTTATTTAAACCTACTGTAACTGAATATTCTGTTCATTTTCCAGAAGTTAAAATAAAACGCTGAAAATTATGATGACGTACAGGTTACACAGGAGGTCAGAGCATTCAATTATGATAGATATCGTCACAAACCAACAAAATCATGGTTATGCACAGATGATGAGTCGCAAACTAGGATAGAACCCTGGGAAAACCTATGTTATAACGTCATCAATTAATATTATTTTATAGCACTGTGTGACTTATGAAAATAAAATCTTGCCTATAATGAAGTTAAAACCTATGTTACTACTGAGTCTACTGTTTTTACCTTTCGATACCAATTTAGAACATTTATCTTCGGGCTATAAGAGTTTCCTTTAAATCAATTGGAGAAAATGTTCCGTTCTCCCATTGATTGCTAAATCATCCATATTCTAATAATTTTTTGGAAGTAATGGAAGGCTACCATCCAATGTGAAAGGTGATATTTAATATTGACTGCCTACTCCTGACATAAAAATCAAACCAGATGAGAAATAAATACACTAGTTCAGAGGCAAATCAGCTCAATTCCACTTAAATGACACATTGACAGCGGTCGGTCAAAATGTTTAAGGTGTTTACAACAAAAATGCGTCCCGGAAAATTCAGTTGTATTTTGCAGGTAATGTCTCTTTTTGAAAACATATGCCACCAGAGTAATTGCGCCAGATGTCTTCAAACAAACAAGCTACTGATATTTCTCTCAGATAGAGTTAACTTATTTGCTGACAAGCATATCATCTCAAAAATGCATTTCCGCGTAATTTGTCTGAAGATAAGGTAGACTGTTGATTAAACTAGCATAAGGGCTATTTATATAGATGAGACTGTCCGAATTTGAGAAAATAACAGTGCAAAACTGCATCTGCGAACACATCAAAGAATTGTATTTAATGCTCAAAAGCCATTTCGATACCATAAACCGAACTATTTCTTTCATATATACATAAGTCAGGTAACTTCGAAAGTATGAAAGTATAGAGCTTGAAAAGCAGATGAATGAACTTACTCACTTTGCAAAGTTTTTAGCAAGAAAATCCTTTCGACATATCTCGATCATTCCTGGAAAATGATTCACTCTTTGGTATGGCTTTAAGGACATCAGCTTTTCCAGCGGCAGGAAATTATCACTCCATATCAAGTACCTTAATTTTGCAATGCATTTACCTCACATCTTACGCATCATTAAGATCATCGCTTTCCACAACTGTGAAACCGGCTTCTTTGACACATTGCCTCACTACATATAAGTCAAGAAGAATATTGAAGCCAACCTATATCATATCTTGAATCTTTCAGGTTTGCTTTAATCTTCGCTTTCTTCCTTTCTCTTATCAGTTTTTGGGCTTTACTGTTATGCAGCAGTTTAACACTCCCACTATGCATGCGCACATGTTTATTCAGATAAGATAAAATCTCTTCTGTATTCAAAAAGTTATAAAAATAATTTATTGACCTGTATTTAACATCCAAAATATTTGTTAAGAGAAACAAATTCCAACGAATCATGAATAATATTCATGTTGCGCGGTGATTAGTTTAGCTGCTATAACATTGAAAACAAGATATTCAAAAAAACAAGCGCAATACCTCGTGAAACATGTGAGAATGTTCATTCATTCGGAGTTGCCGGCCCCACAAGTCATAAGTTGTAGTTGAATTTACATAAACTATTTACACTTAGTATAACATTCCGTTTAGCTGCTGCCTCCTTTCAGGCAATTATGTGTATGACTTCTTTATACTGGGTTGAAGGTGTTTTAGTCTGAGTCTAATCATCTCAATTATTCACTAGTGTGCTAGCCAAATATCTGTCGCTTATAAACTCAAGTATTCTCTGAGTCCATAAGTCAGCCATACTAAATAACCTCAAATTTTAATTCTACTCAAATATCCTACCCATCAGAGCATATTATCAAGTAACTAAGCCTCTTTGATTTGCTTTTTGTTATCAGTACTTACAAGTCAGATAACGTACTAGCAGACACTATAACTAAGCATAATACGTTTCATAATGCTAGTATAGTTTAGCTAATCAGTGACACAATCAGTACTTTACCAACTTTTCCTCCATAGCTGACGGCTCTAACCATTTTGTGGGTTTTCATAATCCACCTACACTTTTATTATTCATACCAAATTACTTAATCAAGGAAAGATCTAACATGTGGGGAATAAGTTTAATTACCAACCCTACTGATTTACTAACAACAGAACCATAGTTCCCACCACGTATCTTGGATGTGTACTAATGTGAGGATGACTACACTATCTGCTGCGCGGATAGATATGACAATCTTGGTAGACAGCCTCTTATTCAGGTATCTGAATCTAGTTTCAGATTGAATGGCGTCGATTCATAAGCTATACTGTCAGTTAATATTATACCTAGAGATTCTGAACAGAGTGTGAATATTTGACTGGAAATAGGCTGACAATCTAGGATTATGTGTAAACATAATTTAGACAACTAAGCTTTTATTATGTACATAATACCACTGAGTTTATTAAGATTGAAGCCAGAGTGCTGAATATGGTGGATTATGCACTATATCTCACGGTGTAAAAATATCAGATTGTCTGTTGATCACTATGCTCCACATCTGAAATTGGTGAGCTAAAAGTTAATTCCTTGTCGCACCTATAATTTATTACAACGCAATCGTGGGGTCTTCATCATCTTATGAATCAACTGGTTGCGTGACTGCGGTCCGAACGCTTCAATCAAGTGTTTGTCACCAGCTATAACTATAGACCGAAGCGATGTAGGTCTCTGTGATATGTTGTGGGGCAGGGACTGCAAAACACACTAGTCTATGGCTACTCTGATGAATTAAGCAAGGGAGGAATTCATAAAAAATGACGGGTAACCAAGTAAGACCTATATCTTTATGATTCGTGAAGCTTTCTTTGTCTATTGAATAATGAGCGCCATTCCATGTATTTGAGCGGATTTTCCCGGCTTTACTTGCCCTGAGCTGCGTTTTCTAGAATAAATATTCAGAAACACCACCGGTCACCTTCAGAATTACAAGCTTTCGGCAGATACTTTGGATAATTATTTTGATAGAAAAGTCCGTATCTTAATTGGTGAGCCCGTTTACTTCACAATTCGCCTCAGATTTTGTCATAGTTGGTTATAATGTATACGCTTCTTGTCAGTGAATTTGAGGATTGAACGATCAATTCATGGTTGTTTACTCAAATCCAACTCCATATTTTGGCGGGAGTCATCGACACCGCAGTCATCTTTCCATCGTTCGCTGTTCGTTGGAAGACGGAGAAAAACTATCAGAAAATTTTGTGTACAATAACTTTAAAGTTGCTTCTATATTCGCGCGAAATAAAGGGTTCTTGAGCCACCAAACTGTGTTCTGGTTTTTCCCGTTGGTTACAGCACACAGTCACTGAAGGACTTCTAAGGATAGCGTGAAGCCCAGTGTCAACCACGTCTCGTGAATCGTCAATGCCCAGCTCTTGCTACGCTGGGACTCACGCTGTTCCTTTAAGTTTCTCAGAAACGCCTAGTAATAACGGACACAAAACCAAAACACCGATTGGCCACTCGAGAATTCTTTGTTGTAACACCAACATATAGCCAACTTTAAAACTAAGGTCTGTGAACAAATATTACAATAATAAATCACAATATTACTTCTGACGGTTGTCTACTGACTTTTTTCCGAACAGAGACCAATGAGACGATGACTGGTGTATTGATGGTTGCGCGAAAATCGGGGAAGTTGGTTTTGAACAAACAACCATGAATTGATCGTTCAATCTTCTACTACGTTGACACTCCCCGGCAAAAAAAGGATCCATCCCTTTTTTCCATCACGACCAATACACGTTGACTTGGATGCCATTGCGAGAACCTCGGTCACACGGACAGAGCTGAAATGGAAAACAAACAGAAAAGCCAACACACCACAAGCAAACCCACAGCTCAATCTCACACATCGCTGACGACCTGCGCCTCCAGATAAAGACCTCCTCTTGACATCTTGCAACACAATCGCCACTTACTAAAATGACTCTCGCAGAATGCAACGTGACTATAGCACCACCTCACGATACTCCACGCACATCCTCGTATCTACTCAACACCAATTACCACTGCAATCGCTTGTCACTCATTCTGCCTCAGTTCTAGTGACGGTGACGTATGCGAGCCTCAGTTGTCTACACTCTCGCTCCCCGGCGTGTGGGATCACAGCTTATCATTCTCTCCGTGTGCATTTCATTCACAGCAATAGCCTCCCCGGCGTATACGACCCATCTGCTGTCTTTAACATCAATCAATTCATTCACGAATGTAGGAGACTAGAAACAACTTCAGAAGTAATCACGACAAAAATTTTAACAAAATTGTGCAATAACAACAAGGTGCGAAAACAACGAGTAAACACAATGAATCCAAAAACACCAATTGATATGACACACCACACATATATACAAACAGTGGTGGATCAGTAGATATGGTGGTGGTCACTAAGGTGAATCACCTCATTCTGCAGGAACAGTAATATGCAATTTGAAGGCTCGAGACATTTCTGATTTTTATGAGGGCCTAGATCTTTATCTTGAAAAAGATAATAATGAACGCCTTGACAGATCATGCTTCTACCTTTAAATATATACCATTCGCTCAGCCTATTGTTAAGATGCGACCACGCGGGATCTGCGCAGATTTATGGGGCATCTTATAAATTAACTTGTTATCCATTGTCAGATCTTTAAATACCACTTCATAATGTCTTGTCTCACTCATTTTCTAATAACGTCTTTACTTGGTCCTCATTATATTCCATTAAACCTAACATTTTATAGCTCTTTATGAATTTGATTCGACTTATTCTATTCCTATTCTCTGGAGGGTACGGTTGTGCACCAAATAGACAAAAGAGCATGAAATGAAGACAACTGGCTTGAAAAAAATTGTATTAAAGCCAAAAGTGGACATCATGATAGTACAAAATATATTGGTTTTATTATACATTGCAAATGAACGTTGTCGGCCTAAGGATTAATTACTTCCCCATTGTTTTCTATATAAATGTGTTTATTAATGATATATTTCACTCACTTAATCTATTACACTTTAATGCTTCACCTTATCACTTTAACTTTTCTAAAACAGCTTTTAATTCCTTGTAAACGTTGCACTTACCTCAATATTGGTTGGTTATCGTATGTCTACAACCACGGGATGAAAACGAAACGAAGTCGATTTTCCTGCTCAACCTGGAGAACAATTGTACAATTCAATAACTATACGGCCTGGTTCAGACAATGAGTGTAATTATATATATGTATCAAATATTTAACTGTTGAAACATTATTAACGTGTAGACAAATTAAGATTTGACATTAAAACATACTTGATCGTCCCTGTATAAATGGCATGCATTTTCATGTAAATTTATGTTTAAATGGAAATAAAATTATTATTATTATAGTACACACAAACTAGAGGATCATGTCTTGATGGAATTCCTTTGAAGAATCGCAGGACCAACACCAGCACGCCTGCAACCCTTCTCACGCTGACGATTGTAAGTTGTAGAATGTCCGGACACAATCAAGACTACCAACAATTACAATAATTGGAGCTCACACAACTATTTAACACGAACATATGTACAATCAACACATCATATGTGGTGTATTCTGCTATGACGAACTACCCTTGAAGAACTGTAGGACTTACAGCAGTACGCCTACATTCCTTCTCAGGTTGATGATACAAGTGGAAGACGTCCAGAGACAAACAAAATTATCAACAGACAGATGACAGATGATGCCAATTCAGTATATACAACACGAACATATGTACAAAATCACACACCAAGCACATTAGAATGCTCATTGATGCGCTACCCTTTGAAGAATTGTAGGACTTACAGCAGTACGCCTACAACCCTTCTCAGGTTGACGCCCTAGGTTGGAAAATCGTTGCAGAGTTCATTTGCTGACTTCCTTCTATCATCTTTATGCTCAAATCTGAACGGTAGCACGCTCATGTCATTGTATCGTAAAATATAGATGACGAACAAACATACGACATATCTGGTCAACCAAGCGTAGAAACAGAGTAATTTACACCAAAGATAATAGCATTCAAATAGTAACTTGAACATAGAAATGCCTTTATACATGCAAGTCAATTTAACAATTACTCTCTCGTTTAAACTTGGCTTATCCTCACTAAACTGAGCAATATCTTTCGTCTTTTCAAATGCACCAATACTATCATAGCCATTGCACAAGATACTTGAGTTGATGGGCATCCTTCTCATTGTGGATGACAACACCAACGACAACTGATTGATACCAGTTGATGAACTTAGCGGTGGATCACAAGCTGTTCTTTTTCGGCTTTCAGATAGTTGTCTAACTGCAAGATTACCACCACTGCTGTCTTTTACTATCAGATCCGCTTTAGCACTAGCATCTGATGATAGGTGGTCTACACGCTGATCAATTACACTGACGGTTTGACAAGTATGCATGCCTTCTGCAACTGCATCTGCATTTAATTCTA